GTATATGGGGGGGGGGGGGGGGGGGCGGGAGGGTATCAATAGAGCCACCCACGTTTTGATGTCGAGCATTGATAGCACACCGGCGGATTGGTTCAGTGAAAGTTGGAGCCTCCCAACCCGAAGTCCAATTGCTCTCCTCTAACAAGAGCACCGCGCTTGTGGAGGTATGCCTTGCCCTGATATGTCACCTCCTCGAAGCAAAAGATTGCCCAGTTCCGGAGGGAGTGTGGTTCAAGCAACGGACTTTCTACTAAGTGTTAGAGGCCAACCCAGGCATGGGCAGCGGGAGAGGAAAGACAAGGCAGCCCAAGGCTATCTGCAGCTCCTCTTTCACTCAACACAGGCCAGAAGTGTTTTTTTTTTAACTTTTTCCCTCTTTTCGTCACCGCAAAGGTTGTTGCCGCGGAGGTCGAGGTGGTACAGCGAACTGAGGCCCCCGATTGCGGAAGGAATCGGACCTGGGCCGGAACCAGGACAAGGAGGGCAGTGCAGCGGGAAAGACAGGGGTCAAAAGTCAAGGGTCGCATGCGTAGGCATACATACAAGATTCCGTGTCGAAGTCAGAAACACAACGGAGGGGGGACGGGGCACTTTTTTTCGGGGCACACCCAGTATCTCGCCAAAGAATATCGGAATGACATGGCATCGTTTGTGACCCGTGTGCCACTCTCGTTCCGGAACCTACCACCAGCGAACTTACCCCTGAGAGAATTTCTGTGTAGACGGAGCTCCTGAAGGAAGGAGAGCATGCCCAGTTCCGGCGGAATTTCGCCTAGACAGCGGCGGATCACGCGATGTGCGGGACGGGTAAGACGGTTGGTTGGCGGAGGGCACACACAGCCAGGAATACGGCGAAGCCTGCACCAGCAGCATCGAATCCGACGACTTTGCACCATGAACGACACCAAGCCCAACACCCACCACCAACACCAACAACAACAATGGAACAATCACCGAAGCTCGACACACGAATCCATCCTGCTCTTCTATCGCACCAGCGTTTGGTAACGGAGATAAAAAGGAACCTGAGCCCACTTCTCACATTCCAGCCCACCACAACAACAACAAAACTACGGAACCCCGTATTAAAGCGCGGCCGGCGGGTGTTGTCGACCAGTGCACAGGCGAACCGCGGGCTTAGAGGAACGGTCCATTAAAACTGTAGCATCGCTCAGTCTCACCAGAGATGTTGTTCCTAGGGAGAATGAGCTCGGTCACGCGGCCTCGATCGACCTGGGTTTATTCGTTGATAAATGACATCGGAAGTTCATCAAGACAATCTTCGGGCATGTACCTAACATAGGCTACCAGTTCAAAGCAAAAAACAAATTGACTCTACCATCTGGGTACTAATACTGCTGTGGCCACCCGCCGTACGTAACCCGCCCAGTAGAGGACCCACGACCGCACGAGGATGTGCAAGGGTCGGCTCAAGGGCGCTTCGCAGGAAACCGTAGGGCACTCACCGAAACGTTGTACCACCACTCGAGAGGAGCGTCAGACCCCCAGTTGGCGTTGCCGTTCCAGGCGGGGCCCTTCCACACCTCGAAGAGGATCATGAGCACGGCGCGGTCGTGGGTGGTGATGCGCTGCCCCTCCTTCTCCTCGCCGGACGTCGGAAACGGGAAGTCGTCGTCCACGCGTTCCTCTTCCTCTAGCCCCTCCCCTTCCACCTCCGCGTCTTGTTCTGCCTTCTGCTGTTCGCTGGCCTCCTCCTCATGCTGCTGATGAAGCTTCTGCGAAAAGACGCGTGACAGACCGGTTAGTGTTTGCTGTATGCTTCTGGTTTGTTTTGCGAGTATTGTGCAGGGTGTGGATTGTTTGATACGATTCTGTTCAACTCGGATTGCTAGTAAAATCTGCCGCAGATCTTTGGATACCACACAAGCCGACGCCCCCTGTACAACAGAGAGGGGACCAGCCAACCGCCTACTGACCGGCACCATTCCGTCACCTGCTGCTGGTTCTCGACGCTGTCCAAGCGAGCCGATTCCTTCGACGTGCCCAACCCCAGTCCTCCCGCCCACAGGCCATCTTCTTTGCGCGTCTGGTGCGTGTGGTCCTCGTCGTCCTCCGCTGTTTTGCCCCGCACTGTCGGACCTGCCCCCGCAGCTTCCGCCTGCCCGTTCTCCGTTTCGTATTCGTTATTTTCATCGCGGACACCGTTGTTCGATCCGGCGTCAGAGTCCCCGGACGCCGAGTGCGGGATGTCTCCGCCAAACGTCTGGCCACCACCGCCGCCATGGGCATCGCTGTTAGCAGCGACGGGTTTCCTCGGGTCACTGCTGTTGACGTTGTCAACGCTGCCGCCAGTCGGGGTTGTTGTTTTAGTCGTCGCTGCCTCCTCCTTGGAAGGGGCTGTGCCCATGAGGCTGAAGGCGGTCAGGGGCCCTGTGTCGGGGGTTCTCCGGATCGCCGGCTGCGTGTTGCGCATCGCCGGCGCCACTACAGGCACTGTGCCGGAGGACGCCCCGGCGACCGTTCTGCCGGGTATACGCGTCTGGCCACCGATCGTGGCGCCAACCCTCGCCGTTGCATTTTTGTGCTTCCTGGCCGCGGCGATGGCGGCCCTCTTGCTCCAACGGGACTGAGCGTAGCCGTGGACCACGGTCTCCCCACTGGTGCTGCTCAAGTCGGGCGTCGTTCCTCCGTGGGCACCCCCGCCGGTGCTGCCGCCGCCGCTCTCCTTCCCGTCGCGAAACGAGCTGCTGACTGTTGACGCCGAGCTGCTCGGCAGCCGATTCTGTCGACCCAGAAAGTCCGGGTACCCCACGCCTGAACCGGACGTGGACAGGCCTAGCTCGACGCAGTCGCGGCTGCCGTAGCCTTGGGTGGCCGGGCTGCTGGACGAGGAAGGCGGCGGGGGTGGGGGTGGCTGGCGCATGGCGGCCTCCGGCGTTGCACCACCGGCCCTCTCACGGAACCCCGGCTGGAACCCCGGCCTGACGGCTTCCGGGTGGGCTGGTGGCCGAACGAAGCCGTAGGCGGGGGGGGTTCTAGAAGATCCCGACCGCTGCCGCCTGGTTGAGAACGAGCCTGGAGTCTGCCAAGTTCCCCCCGCAGTCACACCACCTTCTTCTGTGATGCCGTCACCTGCGCGGTTGAAACCGCCGAAATCTCCCGGGTAGCGTGTGCCTGTCTCGCTCAATTCGACGGAGACGCGGTTGTCGTGGGCTTCAGGGATATGGTGGACAAAAGGCTGCTGCTGTTGCTGGACAAAAGTGCTACAACTAGAACTTTGTGGCGCCCAGTTGTGGGTGGTACAGCCCGCGCCTGCGCGGTCTCGCCCGCTCCGCTCGCTGTAGATTTGGTGGTGGTGGTGGTGGCGGTGGTTGCCGTAGTCGACCGCCGCAAAGTTGGGGATCGCTGCCGACTGATGCTGCTGTTGCGCAGACATGGCAGGAGGTGATAACATCCCCCAATCATCCCCGGAGAGGCTGTTGTCCTCCCACCCATGCCGCTCCCCGTAGTCGTGGAAGCTTTCGCTGTAGCTTTCGCTGTAGCTGAAAGGACTACTAGCTGCCATGGTCGGTTGCTGCCGTAAGGCCATCGCAGCCGCTGCTGCAGGCCCCCGGTCTCGTCTGCCAGGCTGCATGCCGTATTGGCGGCTGTTTCGGTTGCCCTGCCGTACCCCGTAGTCGTGGCCGCGCCCCGTGGCGGAGGTAATCCGCCCAGCGGCGGCCGACTGTTGTTGTTGTTGTTGTTGTTGTTGTTGTTGTTGTTGTTGTTGTTGCTGCTGCTGCTGCTGCTGCTGCTGCTGCTGCTGCTGCTTCTGCAGGGCGAGCAACGTGGGCGATGATAGCGATTGCCAGTCTCCCTCCGCGCTGCCATCGGCGTCGGACGGTGTTCGGAGGGCTGCAGCGGTTGTGGGGAGCGACCTCCAGTCTCCTCCAGCAGTGGCGGCAGTGGTAGCAGCGGTGGCATGAGCATCTTCAGTGGATTCTCGTCCGTCGCTGTCCTGCCGGCTCCGTTTGCCGCTGTGGCGGCTTGTGTAGTTCCCAGTTGAACTGCTGGGAGCGTCCGCTGCTGATGGTTGCCGCCGCATGGCCACAGCAGTTGTGCGAGGGGAGATCCTTCTTCCTGTGTCCGTAGCAGCAGCAGCAGCAGCAGCAGCAGCAGCAGCAGCAGTAATTTCTACGTCGCCGGTGCCGCCGCCAATAGCGCCATTGCCGAAGTGGTCATGATTGTCGGGATCGGCCGAGTTACCAGCTGTGCCCGAACCAGCTCCTCCTTGAGACTGTCCATGATAGGAGTGCAAGGACGGCAAATGCAATGCTCTCGTCGCCTCCAGCTGTTCATCACCAGCTACTGACTGCTCGGGTTGCCTCGTGCCGTCCGCCACTTCCACCACCACTTGTTGTTGTTGCTTCTGTTGTTGCTGCTGTTGCTGCTGCTGTTGTTGCTGCTGCTGCGGCTGATGGTGCTGCTGCTGCTGCTGCTGTTGCCGATGTTGCTGTTGATGTTGCTCCTGCCGCTGGTGCTGGTGCTGGTGCTGTTGGCGCTGTTCTTGCTGCTCTTCTTCCTCAGCCCCTTCTTCAACAACTGCGCTATCTCGGTGACTGATGTCTTCCTGACCGGCGGCCTTGCACAAGGCCGCAATCTCGGGGGCGATGACCTTCATCGTCGGCCTGTTTTTGTCGTGGAGAGAACCGCAACGGTCGAGCAGGTCTTGCATGCGCTCAATGAGCGGCGCTGGGCCAGAAGCGCTCTCGAGGGAAAGCCTGGCGTTCGGAGCTCGGAGGAGGAGCTCTCCAACAGGAGGACCGATTCCCGCCTTCTGGTTCGTAATTACCTGATTTCGATTCGTTTTTCGGGGCATCCGACCCGAGTTTGTCGATGATTGATGCAAGCGCGCTAGCAGGTGAGGATGGGGGCATTCCGCGGTGACCTGCTGCTTTGGGTCGACTTATTTCCTAGCAATCAGAGATGCTAGCAGGCCAACTGTTCCGGTAGCGGTTGCTTCGGTTCTGGCTCCTTGTACACTATTGCCGTAAGGAGGGGGGTTCGTGGCTGCTTTGAGCCTACCGGGGTGCGCTCACTCTCACGAGGAACCAAACAAAAACACCAACAAAACAAACATTTAGAAGAAAGCACTGGTATACGATAGGTGCGGTCAAGTAGAAGCTCACCTCCCACATGACGACGTGCAGGCTGAAGATGTCCGACAGAGCGGTGGCCTTCCGATGCACGTGAACCTCCGGCGCCATCCAGAAGTCCGAACCAACCTTTGAACACCAACACCCAGGGGAGAGAGAGAGAGAGAGAGAAAGAGAGAGAGAGAGAGGGAGAGACGGGAGGTGCGGAGGGGAATACGTCGCCAAAAGCGCTGAAATGCTGTGCGACAAAAACACCCCCACTTTCTAGCCTACACTTCTACGAGAGCAACAACAGAAATCGGGCACGGAAAACGATGCTGTGCGGAAGTGCAGACACTCCACGGAACGTTGTTGTGGAAAACAGGTATTGGGGGTACTCAGTGCGGCACCTTGCTGTGATATGTGCCGCCGGTGTCCTTGTTGACGGTCGAGCTCACTTGGGCGAGGCCAAAGTCTGAAAGCTTGGCCGTGCCTCCTGCGTCTAGCAAGACGTTGAGGCTCTTAATGTCTCTATGCACAATGTTATGTGCGTGCAGAAAGTGAAGGGCCTGGGAAACCATCGGCAACAGCGGCGGCGGCGGCGGCGGCATCAATAGCAACCACACTACGATCAAGGTTGCGGATTTGTATTTTGCGTTTGACCGTCGGTCAGCAAGAAGTTGAACAATATTCGGGGTAGGAGATTTCTGCTGCAGGGTATTCGAGTTTACTGAAATTGACCACAGTTGAAGTTTACCTTGCACACATCGTGTATTATTCCGAGGGCCCACGGGAAGTTGATGCTGAGCTGCAGGCTCAGCAGTTCATAGAGCGACTCGTCCATCCTCTCCATGACCAGGCAGGGGGGGTGGACCGCGTCCCCAACGCTGAAGGCGATGACTTCGACGATGTTGTCATGGCGCATCGCGAAGTGAAGTTCGGCCTCTTGCCTGCGACGAGAGACGAGGGCCAAGTGTCGTACGCATGTGCCATCGCCTGTTTGTGACGTCTGCCTCAAATGCAATTTGAGCCTCCCTCCTGTTGCCTACCGTAGGTTGTAAAGCACAGCACGGCAAACCATCAAATATCGCCTTCGGAACAAGAAAATCTGCACACTTGGGTGGGACGTTACGTCATGCAACATGTCAACTTGTCCGCGCACTTGACTTTGTTGACATTTCCGAGAAAATTCAACGCGTTTGGTCTCTCCCACCCAGCCCACAAGGAGTCGAGGGGCTTCAGCCCGAAATTCTGTGGTCAAGTCAGTAGTACCTTAACAGTTACTCCAACACATGTTCCTTCGACAGGAATTGATCAAGTTATTTGGGGCACACACGGTTTCGTCGTGTCCCAAGCTTGATCGGGGTAGGGTTTTTGAGTTAGGGCTCCAACTCCGTCCCTGACGGACCGCCGTGGACCCTCACTGTGACGGTGTCCATTCGATTGTCGTTCAAACTCGGTTGTCAAGTTACGTCAGAGGCCGGGGGTACCAATTATTGCCAATTATTGCGTTGTAGTCAGAGCGCTCGCACTTCTACAGAAACTAGGGTGATGTTGAACCGAATTTGAATTCGACACCAGAGAGCGCAAGGAAAAAGCAGCGGGGAACCCGGCAGACCCCCACCAAGTCAGGATCCAGGATTTGCGAAAAAAAGCAGCTGCGGCCCGGAGCCGAAAGTACAAGAAACAAGACGAGCAAAATCTGGACATCCAGAACCTCCAAGAAGACAGCCTGTTGCATCTCGTCGAGATGGCCGACCCCGGGAAAACACACATGCCTGCATTGCTGCCGCCTCCAACCGCCTTTTCTGGGAAAACCGCCAAGGCAGAAGCAGCAGCGGCAGTAGAAATTTCAACTTTTCATCCAGTATTCCGCTTGTATCAACTATCGGAGATGAGATGCGTTCATGGTACGCCAATTGGCTCCTCAAAGTCATCTACAGATCCCCTCTTGCTCCTCTTGCCCTTCTTCAACCCGGAGGCCCCCGAACGACGACGATAAAAACAAGCACAGCACCACAAACACCAAAAGCATCACGGCACACACAGACAGACCCACAACGCACCGGAAATCCTCGAGTGTCCGGCTGGTGCAGGCAGCCCGAGCCTTCTTGACGGCCACGTCGCGGCCGAAGTACCTCGCCGCCAGCACCACACCGAACGTTCCCAGGCCCAGTTGCTCCTCTTCCTCCAGGGCCTCGAATCGGACGCGCTTTACGTGGACGATGAGACTGCCGGCGGTGCGATCCGCATCGCCGCCACCGGCGCCGTGGTTGCCGCCGCCGGTCTCTGTGAGGGGGCTCACTACTCCCGACTTCGCGATTTCCCCGCGGATGACCTCTCCGACGGTAGAGCCGTTCGTGCTGCGGGCCATCATCCCTCGGTCGATTGCGTCTCTCGCCTTCTGTATCAGCGCTTCATCCGCGCAGTCCAGCGGGTCCGCGGCCCGACCCTGGCTCTTCAACGCGGTCGCGGCTGCCGCTGCCGCCGCCGCTTGTTGTTGTTGTTGGTCGCCGTTAGCCGTGGCGGCGGCGGTTGTAACGGCAGCAGCAGCCCTGTCTTGCTGAGGATCGTTCACGACGTGATCTTTGATCTCGCCAAGCTGGCATTTGATGTCCGTCAGCAACGGTAGGCGGAGGTCTCGCGTGACGCGCTCGAGGTCCGCCTCAGCTCCCACGAGGGCTTCTTTGGTGGCCTTGATGCGAAAAACACGAAGCACCTGGTTTTTATTCAAGGCAACAACAGGCCGACCGACACGAAGTTAGAAGTAGAGAGTCGTGCTGCCAAACACTGAACGAGAGCGTCAAGGCTAAAAACAACTTGGTCAGTGAAGGGGCAATTGTGAGAAGGAAAACGTCACCCTTTTGTAGCCTTCATGCCGGAATAGCTGTCACCTGATCTCATTGCACTGACGGACGCAAAAACTTGGGATCGAATGAGAAATGAGCCACTGCACGGAGAGGAGGAGATGGGAGACAAAATAACGCCTTGACACGAGACCAAATGTGTCGCAACAGCAGCGCACATGTCACCTTCATCAACACGGCCAGGCTTGACCACCGACGCACGCACAGACAGCACAAAACACATAATAATAAGTCTAAACCGGTTTTGCACTTTGAAAGGAAATGCGAAAACGGTGTGTTATGTGAAGATGTATCCTCACGCGGTTGAGTTGAAGCTAACAACACACAAGAGATTTTCGTGGCAATCTCGCCAGAACTTTTCCGTCTGTGCACCTTTGCCGAGAACCGCGCAGGCTGCTTGCACCGTTCGACCAGCTGGATAACCCGCAGCAGCACGTTTCGGAGCTCCAGCAGGCTCGTCTCAAGAGCCACATTGCCCTCGAATTGTTCCGCTGCCGAACTCAGCAACCCCAGGACGTTCTGCGTCCGCATCGCGAGGCGTGCGGCTTGCCCGGGACACTGCTTGACGAGCTTGCACTGGTGGATGACGGCACCGCCGGCCTGATATATGAGCGACACCAGGGAGATAATATCTACGCCCATGGTTATTTGTATCCGAGTGTCCGTGGGAAACTCGATCTACTGTACCGTTCTACAGCAGTACAAATACTGCTGTACTGCCGTCTCTTTGGTCGGTCCTGCCCCCGTTTCGCTTGAGCACTGCGGGCAGGGTGTTTTTTTCCTCTTCTCCTGGCTATGTTGTCCGGGTGAACTATGGAGTTTCAGCTCCCCGCCAATGGTGAGGGCAGAGAGATGCACCGGCCGGCCAGGGAGGTTAACCTTGAGGGTACAGCCAGCACAGCAGACAGAGTGTAGCAGGATGGCCGCAGCATACGCGCAGCGCATGCATGAGTAGCAGCTGCCCTTTCTCCGTTCGAGAACGAAACGGCTCCCCAACTGCTGCATCGTGACGACTTCTCATCGTAAAGTGTGGGGACACGAAGCACCTTCAGAAAAGTCCTGCTATCTGCTGACGCGCACTCCTCGGACGGTGTACGCACAGCAGCGGGGGCTGTGTGGTGTGAACCACAAGATGCGGGGCAATGGGTTGCGTTTCGGACTTTACAGCAGTAGCATGATATGCACGTAATACAAAATACAACGCACGACCCACCCGGGTTCACGTTCACAGCAGTAACTGCTCCCCGTGGCCGTGGTGTATCGCCTCTCCTTTCGATTAGAAACAACGATAAGAACCATGAAATTATCAATGAAGCCGTAGTTTGTCCTCTTCCACGTTCTGAGGGATAGAGGATAGGGCACCGTCTGCCGTAGTTTGGTTCCTCGTCAACTTGAGAGAACACACGCACACACGCGAATAAACGGCTGCGCGGGTTCGGGCACGCCCGTCCGTTACGTTCGTTTCGCAATCCACAGAGCCATCGCACCAGGGGCTCAAAAGTCGCAAGAGCCACCACCTGAGAAGCACACTCATATGCATACACACGTGTGGTCGCGCGACCAAACTCCCTGTCGATCTCACATGATGGGGTGTTTTCGGCCTGTGGTTGGCGCGGGTGCATGGCTTCAATGCCCTCTGGGCGCGTTCAATTGTTGCGGGTATTGTCGAACCGGTAATCGGTAAAGCAGTCCACTTTTATTGTGTAAGCCATACAAGACGTATGCATGTCGCCTACACCACAACAGACCGATTAGTCTACAGAAGGAAGAGCCTCATCATATGATACTTAATATTGTACAGACCAAATACCGCACTCCGTAATAAAAATGTCACCCTATATCCAACAATCAATGTTCATTGGCGCAACGAACCAGGCAGCCACCCCGAACAAACTTTGCAGCCACACATGCGGACAATATATACCATGCAATTATCAAAACACTTTCCGAAAACGTCAAATACGAACGTATCTACTATGTACTCTGTACAATTGTAGCCATCCGATACACAAAAAAGGTGGTATTTACACATACCGAAGAAGGCACGCTTCTCTACGCCATTTCTTGCCGTAATCTCCCACCATTCCCTGGAAACCTGACGGAGACAATCATCTTCAAGCTGCCATAACGTCATAAACTCTTACCGTGTTGCACTCTCACAACAGTTCAGGAAAAAACGTCTATCGAATCGCGATGAGGTTTGTACACACAAAGACAGCACTCGAGTAGCCCGACTTTGAGGCCCGCAAATAAGACGAATTGCGCAGCTATGGTGCAGCTGCTGCTGGATTGTCTACTCCTCCCAAAACATAGACTCAGCATCCCTACTATACCGGAGACTACAGCGAACAACAAGTATCGTGCTACGCCTACGCATGCCCCCGTCCTCCTCCTGCTCAACTCCTGGCCCACCCCGTGGTGAAGAAAACAAAGGAGAGGGACCGCAGGTTTCTTCACCCAAAGTCAGCCCCTCGTATGTATGTCTACATATGTCCACACAGTCCATGTTGTGTTCCTTCGTCGGGAGGCTGAGACGATTCATCACCCTTTCCTTTGAACGCTGACATGACAATGACATACGTATTCGGCAGGACGCCCGCCCCCTCTCCCGCGAAAAACCAAGCAAGACTACTTCTGTATCCCCTCTCTCCTTTCTATGAACACAACGGGGCAGGAAATCTTAATCTGCTCAGGGTGTATAAAGGGATCCGTTTCCAATGGAATGCGGGGTCAATGATCGAAGGGCCAAGACGACAAACTAATGGTATCACCCAGCACTACTGCCAGAGAAAACTCTCTACACTACCAATAAACTTTAGCGGGGACGTGAGATTGCGCGTACAATAAATCTAAACACAACCTAATATGGTAATCCAACCGTTTCAAATTCAAGCCCAGCCCTACAGACCCCCAACGCCCTTGAGGCCCACGCTCGCAACCAACAGCAAACCAGAACGAGGTGTAGGGCACCCGTGAAGTCCTAGATAACGACACCTACAATATCTATCCTTGACCAGACCGAAGCCTGCAATCTGATCGAGGCATGCAAACCCTCAAAGACAAGTATGGCCCGCCCCCACACGTTTCACAAAGCCTCCGACAACAGTCGCGACTAGGGCCGTTTCAAACAAATCAGATGAACAACCCCCATCCAAAGATCCCATTGCCAATGCTACAAGACCCTCTAATCTACCCTACCTCGGACCTGTTTTTTCAGAGGCCGGCCAAGACCGTGGAGGAATTTGGCATTTCACTTTACTTGGAGTTCTGGCACGAAGAAAACTAATCCACCTCAGGCAAGACAATTCTCCCCATCTTCTCTCTAGTGCATGTTTCGTGTCTTGCGCCCATGGGCTCGGCATTAATGAAGACTATTCTTAGAGAGGGTAAATCACATCATGGCCCGACACAGCCTCTGCCCGACTGTTGCCGCGAGCGAGGCATTCCGTTACTGCTGTCAAGTAGGAGGAGGAGGAGGAGGAGGAGGAGGAGGAGGAGGGGGGGGGGGGTTCCCATTTACCACAGGCTTTCGTATACCACCCGCGGGCGGCGTTTGGGCAGTGGGCGGACTGGGCTCATTTTCGGCTGGGCTGCTCCCCCCCTCCTGATGACTTGCTCGTACAGGAGACGGCCCCTTTCCGCTCCTGCTGCCGGTACGTTTACCGGTTCTGCTGGTGCTGGTGCTGGTACCGCCGCAGCTCTAGTCGAATGACGGTCACATTCACCATCACCACCGCCAATACGACGACGACCATCATCACCACCACCACCACCACCGCCGCCGCCGCCTTGATGATGCAAGCTACCGGTGCCTTTGCCACTGGCGCTGGCACTCGAGTCGCCAGAGGAGCTGCTGGCGAAGAACACGCGCTTGCTCCGTGTTGCTTGTTGCTCTCCTCTTCTTCTCCTCCTCTCGTCTCCTCGCCCTTTCCTCTGCGTATCTGGGCCAACGCCATCCTTGCCCGGCACGGCAGGCCCGTGCTTGTAGCACGCGTCCCTTCGGTCCAAGTCACCGCTGCGGAGTGTACCCGCTTGCAGATCCTGTCCGCGGCTCCCCTCTTCCGAACTTGTCGTCGTCGGTTCGTCGCTCTCTGGCGTGTACTCCGGCTTCGACTCCCTCGCGCTCTCCGACGCCGCCACGGTCGTGAAGCTTGCTTCTGTGCCGCAACAGGCATCAGCGTATCGCTTTTCTCCCGCCGCCGCCGCCGCCGCCGGTTCCGCCGGCTTCGTGCCGCTGCCGCAGACGTCACCGGGAGAGAACTCTCGTGGCATCGCTACCGTCACCACCGCCGCCGCCGCTGCTGCTGCCGCCGCCGCAGCTGCCACCGCGGCTTTCGGCGCCGCCGCCGCCGACGACGATGCGGAGACCGCCGCCGACGTTTCCGATGTCACCGCGGGAGTCGGCACCGACCCCGCCTGCGATGGCGGCGGCGGTGACAGCCCAGCCATCACACCATATTTTCGTGCCAGTCGCGCCGCCGGCCTCGGCGCCGGAATCACCCGCCCGGTGGCCGTTGCCCCGACCCTACCCCTTGGGGCCGTTGTTGCCCGCTCGGGTTCAGCGATCTTTTGCGCCTGCGCCGCTACCACCGCCGCCGCCGCCTCGACCGCCGGCCTCGCCGACCCCGGCGCCCCCCGCCTTGGATTGGCGCCATGCCACCCGCAACCAACTATGCGGCCGCCGGTAGCAGTACCTCGTCCAGCAGCCGCCTTGAAGGATTTCGCCGGGTGGCGTTGGCCCTTGGTGTCGGTGTTGAGGGCGAGCGCGACGGTGGCGGAGGGCCGCTGCCTCGTGTGGTACTCGCGGAGCCGGGCGAAGCCCGCCACGTCCGGCGCGCCACCGGTCGGCCGCGACAGGGGTCGAAACATGGAAGGGGGCGAGGAGCGTCTGGGGCTACAGGAATCGCTGTCTCCGGCGTAGTAGTCTTCGTCGTCGTCCTCCTCCTCGCCAGACCGGCACCCGCCGCTACTGCTGCTGTGGTCACTGCTACTGCTGCTTTCTCCGGAACCCGACGGCGTGTTCCTCTCGCCTCCTCCCGTCCCGATGGCATGTTTCGGGATCTTTCGGGCGGCGCCAACGGCATCGAGGTCGACTCTCAGCGCCAACGATCGGCGCGGCTCCGATCTCTCCCCCTGACCTGTTGCTGCAGCAGCAGCAACTGCAGCGGAGGCAGCATCAGCAGTAGCGGAGGCAGCAGGAGGAGAGGTCACCTCCATCACTCCGCCGTCACTCTCGCTGTCACTGCTGTCGCTGTAGATCGAAACGGCATGGGACGCCCCCCGGACGGCGACGTCGGCAGCGGTGGTTCCTATTCCTCCGGTGGCAGCAGCGGGCCCACGCCGACTACGACCAGGACCCCCTCGCTCACCACCAACAAGGGCACTCGTGGCAGCAACACCGGTGCGGGAGGCGCCGTCAGCGACGTTGTAGTGGGCCCTCCCGTGCTCCGCGAGCCGCCTCGCAACGACGGAAGCGAAGTTGTTGCGGGTGTCATCGCCGATACCCTGGAAAGTTTACAACGGGAGTGCACACGGCGATGACGACGACGTTGGTTGTATGTTCAGGCAAAAGGGCCGTGTGGTTGAGTTGAACCCTTCCGTTCTGCGAAGAGAACGCCAACCCTCACGAGAGCTGAGCCGAATGCGTGGTACGCTGTGTGATGCTTCAGCGGGGTCGCTGGCGGCTTCCTGGGATTATTCGAGCTTCCCTCGGCAGACTCTGGTCTGCATGTACCGAGGCAGGAAGGCCCCTCCACGGGCCTCTTTCTTCTACATGAAGCCAGGGTTGAAGGCCCAAGGACGGGCGGCGACCATTGTTCGTTCGTGCCACGAAAAGAAGAACTCCATTTCGTCCAACAAAAGGAAAACGGCTCGCGACGGAGGCACGATTCCCCCGGCTCACGGCTCCCCAAGCCCTCGAATTGGTTCTAGGGTTAAAAAGCCGCTTTTGTCTCTGTTCTGAATGGTCAAGCGGCGTCTTTGAGTCTTAAGGTCCACGGAAGAACTCCTATGTCCCAGCTCTGGGTTTAGCGTTGTCGCAAAGTATGGCGGGCCAACCCCTTGGGAGAGGGGTCGGTGAACACAACAGCTACCACAAGATGAGTTAAATATTGCAAATGTTCAACAGCAACTTTGTGCACCATTGCTTGCGCCCAGGGACGGGGCCATGAAAGGTTATGTAAGCGCGACAAGACACCGAGCGAATACACGTTTCGAATGTCTTAGATAGACGACCGCCGGGCATACCTTGCCAACCCCACCCCCCACGCCTTCGATGGCGAGTCTTCCGTTGTTTCCGAGAACGCTGCAGAATGGGTCCTCGGCCTCCCCTCGCATCGCCGCCGCCGTGTTGACGAACGCCCGCCGCCGGACCCTCGCCGGGAGAGCGTCGCGGAGCAAGGCGGTGGACGCCGGGTAGAGCTCGGCGCTGATGTACCTGTTTTTTTTTCATATCGTTCGAGCAAAAAGTTGGTATTTCTTTCGAGGGAGAGGTCCCGACGCTAGCTTTTGGGCACGGAAAGCTGGACACCCCCTGGACTGAGGTCCTACACCGGTGTACGCATATACCCATGGGGTCGGTAGCGAGGAGGGTACAACGGGTCCTGCGAGGGGGGGGGGGGGGGGGGTTTTTTATTCTT